TCATTTTGGTTGTTGTTGTTTGTTTTGTTTGGTTTTTTTAGGGGGTGGGGGTGGGGGATAGCTTTTTGTTGATGTTGTTTGTTTTTCGTTTTGTTTTTTGTGTTTTTTCTGGGGGGGGGGTTGACTTTCACTTTTAGTAAAGAGAAGCATATCGACATGAAAATAATATGACAATTCAGTGCTGTGAAAAACGCAAGAAAAACAGACAGAAACAACAGACAGTGGGAAAGTGTTCGGCGCCCTCCAACCACCCGCGGGTTGTTTTTTCCTGTTTTGTTTTTATTTTTACCTAGATAAATTAACGTTCTTGTCCCACCCCAATGTTATTTCAGAGGAGGAAAGACGAAAAGAAGCGATTATAAATGGGAAGAGCAGGGAAGTGAGGGAAGTGTGTGCACATTTTTTTGTATCTCTGTGTTTCCAAGAATGAATGTGCTTCCCTGTACCGTGAGGCAGTCCCAAAAACTTTGAAGTGCTTGCTTGGCCGCCCAATCGGGTGGATCTATCTGAGCACGATTGATGTATATTAAGTGGGGGAAAAGGCACGATTGAGAATTGTGCACGTACACCCTTCTTCCCCCCCACCCCCAGTGTGTTAAGTTGTGTTCGAATCCAATCCCGTCATATATCACCAGGATATGAGATGCTTTTCAGTTTAGTTTAGTTTTAGTGGAGATTTTACGGCGTTCGCAACTGCATAAGGTCATATGAGCGCCAGAAGATTAGAAGCGTTACAAGAGAGTAGCAAACAAAAAACAAAGAAGAAGGGGAGATAAGGACGATACATGTCAGACAGGAAAGAAGAAGCAAACCACACCAGAGCACCCGCCAACCACCCACATGGTTTTCAATTAATGCTATTTCTTAGTATCATTATATTAAATGTGAGCGTGTATGAAAGTGTTAACAAGTGAGTGAATGAAGTGAGAAGAAGGGCGAGAGTGATAACGATAGAGAGAGAGGGAGGGGGGGAGAGAAAAATAGAGAGAAAAGTTGTGTAAATATATTTTTAAAATAAAAATATAGTGCAGTTGTTTGTTTGATTGTTCGTTTGTCTGTGTGAGTTTGTGTATGTGA